GGTATTCCATCTTCACCGAAGAACTCAAGAAAGGCTTTAAAGAAATCAAGAAATGATCTAGAGAAAAAGAAGTGAAATTGTAATGTACCTTCAATTAAGCTTTCTTCCTCCCTCATTATCCCTTAGTGTAATTTCACCTGGAAATACACAGAGGTTGGAGATCCTCTCTGATATCCTGTGGAAATTTGATATGGAGGGAAGTGCTTGTTTTATGGCATTCAGGGCAGTACAGAAGTCTGAAGTGGCAAAGCAAAAGCAGATTTGTGGAAAAATAAAGAGCCTTCAAGAAGAGATCTAAATATGGAGCTGAAGAAGAAAAAGGATGCTTCAATGTTTTGTTTTGTCAGCTTCCCTTTATGGATGTGATACACTTAGACCATGACCAAAGAAATGGAGCAGAAAATTGAACTCTTTTGACATCTGGTATGCTTGAAGTAAACAAATGTGACTAACCAAAATCTTGACGATGATAAAGCACAATTTGGATTATAGATTATAGCTACAAGAAAATAAGACCTAATCCAAATAAATTGATAGTGTGTGACGTTTCGGTAATGAATTTTTTTTTCTTATCCCTAATACACATGGTACAGGCCATGATATTCATGGTGAGTAGAAGAAGACGACTGCATTTACTGTAAGTGCACCACATGTCTATACAAGTGAAAAGCAGTTTGACTTTGCACTTACAAATTCGGTAATGTATGACGTTTTTGGATTAGGTCTTATTTTCTTGTAGCTAAAAAGCTTGATGAAAATTTAAATGAAGACTAGGGCCTCCTTCTCTAAATCAAGTAATCAAAAAAAAGTTGAAGTTTTCAGGACATGTAATCAGAGTATCATTTGGAAATCTCCTATTGGCCCATATTGGGGGAGAAACAGCTTTTAGAGGGAAGGTAGACCAAAGGAATGATTGGTTTGATAATCTAAAAGAATGGTCTGGCATGCTCAGAACAAGGTGAAGTGGTGTTCCATGACTATTGTAGCTGGCTCTATAAGATGATGGTGATTTGTTTTGTGTGTTTCAAGTCCAGTTCTTTCTGTTGGGTTTCTTTTATTTGACCTGTTTGAGGGACATCTCAATGGATGAGCCCCTTGTCACCAACAAAGATTTCCTATTTTCATAAGATACAATATTAATTATATATTAGAGACACAAGGTAATAAGACCATAATTTATTTGGTGTTAATACCTTGACTTCCCAATTTAAAAGCTGGCAGTGCAACCTACCATTGAAGTTATATTCCACAGGGATCAATAATACCCTTGTATAAACCTCTTCCCATTTTTTTAAAACTACAAGGTAATAACACCTGATCCAAATAAATAAATAGTGTATGACGTTACAGTAGGAGCGTTGTTGCCATCTTCAGACAAAAGTACTGAATATTTTATTACTGAATTCAGTCTGTTTGTCTGAAGATGGTAACAACGCTGTTACCGAAACGTCACACACTATTTATTTATTTGGATTTGGTCTTATTACCTTGTGTTTATAATCTATAATCCAAATTGTGCTTTATCTTAAAACTACAAGGTAATAAGACCTGATCCAAATAAATAATAGTCGCGTATGATTCTTTTTAAAAATAAAAAAATTTCCACTATCCTTACTGCAATGGTTTTTTCTGCTCCATTTCTTTGGTCATGGTCTAAGTTTATCATCTCCATAAAGGGAAGCTGACAAAAAAAAAACATTGAAGCATCCTTTTTCTTCATTAGCTCCATATTTAGTTGAAGGCTCTTTATTTTTCCACAAACCATTGCATAAAGGATAGTAGATATTGACTCATCCATTGATGAGCTCTACTCTTCCCCGGCAGACACCATCAAAATTCTCAAGCTTTACAAGCTTGATACCGTAATATGATTGAGTGGAGCTAAGAAAGAAGAAGGACAGTAGAAATTATTTATTTTTAAAAAGAATCATACACGTCTATAATAGTTTCGAATTTTGATAACAGATGGCACGCTAATGCATCATAATAAATTGTGTGTGATGTTTCAGTAACAACACTGTTACCGAAACGTAATATACTATTAATTTATTTGGATTAGGTCTTATTTTCTGTAGTTCAAATCTATAATCCAAATTGTTCATTATTATTTCTTAATCAATAGTTTTATCCATTTAACTTAATTTATCTAGTCTCATTTTCATCTTCTAAATTATTTAACATTTATGCTCATCAGCTTCATTACCACAACAATAGAAATATACATTTTATTTTTAAACACTATTTGTATATTTAAATTTGTAATGTCAAATAGGTTAATATATTTTATAGGTTGGATTATAGGTATCTTTTGGTATGAAGTTAGTTAAAATTATATTCATTTAGGTTTTCAAGGCAACCCGTGATATCACAGCCTATCAAAGAGGTAAAACTAAACATTTTACCAAATAAATAATGTTAACAGTTTAACTTATATATCTGAATATATATTCCATCTGTGATTAAATAACTTTTTATTATTATGTTTGGTTTTAAATGGCACTTTTACCTCTACAGACATAAAAATACATTGTAAAGAGAAGGTATCCATTTTTAAATATAGTATGCATAAATATATTAATTCAACAATATATATGAAAGTAATACTAGATTTGCTCATTTTTATTCATATCGTCCAAAAAATCCAATTAAACTTTTATTACATAATTCATTAAACGTTTAAGCTTAATTAGTCTTTTTGAAAATGTGTTGATAAGTTTCAAATTGACATTTGATTTCAAGCTATGTATTTTTGGTAAAATATTCCATTTATTAAAAAGAACTCTAGAGAATATTACATTAAAGTGTATACCTTTATTTTAATTATAAAAATACAACAAAAAATAGATCAGAATTTAAAATTTACTCACCAAAACAAATATTGCTAACTTTTCGCTAAAAAGAAAGAAATAAACAAAAGAAACGTATTTCAACGGCTTATTTCCTATTCAAGCAAGACCTCAAACGTCCTGTTTTTGTTGTTGTTATTTTTCAATATTCTAAATTTATTATTTAAATGCAGTGATATTTTTCGATTATATACGCATTTACCCTTCAAATAAATGAGCACATAAATTATTTTGAAATTTAGGCAAAGCAATTTAAAGTAATTAATGTGAAATTTCAAAATATTAAATTTCCAATTAATAGGTGAGAACTTTTCATTCTGAAGTCACGAAGTTTTGACTTAACACAGTAAAACTAGGCCATAAATAATGTAGCTTTGTAAGAAACAAATGGTAAGGTGTTTCTAATAGGATTCTAAATTAAGAAAGCCATTTGCGCGCTATCTCCCAAATACTTTGTCTCAGAACCCATCTCTTTTACAGATCGTGTCTGTGCTCTACTGCAATTGATTCGTTTTTTATTTGAATATACATATTTCAACGCTCTTTATTTTCTCAAATTAAATAATTTTCTGCTGTCCATACTGCAATTGTGATATATTGGGAGAGCCTGGCTCATAGTACCAATCCTTGTAAAAAGTGATAGAAGAGATAGAAACCACTGGCTGTCTTGCATAAAGACCACCCTAATGAAGTCTTCAATAAGGTTTGTCTTGAAACTGCCTTCCAGAGGCATATTGGAGAGTTCATTGAAGAACTGAGTAGCTATTATCCCTCTATGGTAATCAAAGTCAGGGTCAGTTAAAAGTCTTCTTGGTTCTTGGGGGAACTTTTTACCCTGGTAATGGATTTGGTTTAACTGAATCGTTTTCAGAGCTATTAGCTAACATTTAAGGTCATGTTGAATCATTTATCAACCACAGAGTTTGGCTTGCTACCATCACCCTAATTGCTCTCTAATGCTAAGTATTGAATAAATTATCTATGAAACCTTTGAGTCAGATTTTTTTCATAATATGCGTGATTTTAAAGAACAGTTATGATATGCTAGCAAAAAGACATCACTGAGTGCAAATAATCAAAAGGAGCTATGGTCACCTTGTTGGTACACAAGTTGGTTTACATACAGTTCAAGAAGTAATATCCAACTGCCCATCATGATAATCATAGCCTGATACTACATTTTTAACCATATGGTTTTCTTACAATACAAGCAGTCTCTACCCATTATGTTTATCAAGACCTGGTAATACATGTGTAGGCCATTGGTGTAATTGCAATACAAGTAATAATAAAACCATATCCACCATGATTACCATGGCCAGATATTACAAGTGTAGACGTGTGGCGTACTTACAGTACAAACAGTTACAGTTCTACCTATAATGATTACCATAACCTAGGTCTAGATGCGTAGACAATTGGTGTTCCTAGAGTACAAGAAATCACAACGCTACCACGATATCCATTGCCTAGTACCACACGTGTAGACATTTGATACACAGTAAAGCAGTCACAATCCTCTATCCACCATGATTATCATGGCCATGTGTACTTGGTATATGTGCCATTACCACAGTACCCCACTAAATTATTATGTTTCTCTAGACAAATTTTTAAATAACATTTTTTTGTTAAGGATTTCCCCAAAGAGAGAAATCATAGGTAAGCAAAAAGAAGTACACTCATAGACTAAACTTAAGGAAGTTGTACTTTTCCGCAGGTGTATATCAGGATTCAGATAATAACTCAAAAATATTTTTGACTCACAGTGATTTATTGAAGGTACACGAGATAACCAAGTGTGAACATAATTTCCTCTAAAATTTTACACATATAAATTTACTGGCAATGCGTTTCTTTTAAATATGATCAAATATTATCTCTACAGACCTTACTGCAATGATATGAGTTATTGAATGAGATAACTCATATCATTGCAGTAAGGTCTGTAGAGATAATATTTGATCATATTTAAAAGAAACGCATTGCCAGTAAATTTATATGTAAAACGAAAATTGCAATTATACCGCGAATGTTTCTTTTAAACAAAATCGAAATTTATTTTAAAGAGAAATAACGACTATTTCTAACTTTAAGGATGAAGTATGAAAGTGTGAAAATATGAAGAGTAATGGCGAACGGAAAAATAAAAGTGTCCAGGGGCGGGAATCGAACCCACGACAGATGCACCCGGGCAGATGCCATGTCCACTAGGCTACCCTGGACATATTTTTCCGTTCGTATATATTATATAAAGTAATTTAAAATACAATATAACGCGGCTGATTATTGTAAAACGAAAATTGCAATTATACCGCGAATGTTTCTTTTAAACAAAATCCAGCGGAAGGTCGTGGGTTCGATTCCCGCCCCTGGACACTTTTATTTTTCCGTTCGCCATTACTCTTCATATTTTTACCCTTTCATACTTCATCCTTAAAGTTAGAAATAGTCGTTATTTATCTTTAAAATAAATTTCGATTTTGTTTAAAAGAAATATTCGCGGTATAATTGCAATTTTCGTTTTACAATCATCAGCCGCGTTATATTGTATTTTAAATTTATATGTGTAAAATTTTAACGATAGATGGCAATTAAATTAAATTTAATAATTTCCTCTGTCCCCTTAAAAATAAAAGACGATCCATCAAAGACTATCTACTTCCTTAAGTTTTGTTCATGAGTGTATTTATTCAATTTAAAAGGTATATTTTTCAGTCATATCATTTTGATAATATCTCTATGGAAAATTGTAATAGGCCACAACGTTTCTAATGGTTTACAAGAGTTGTGAAATATACCATGTTTACACATTTTGAAAGTTTGGATCAGACATGACGTAGCCACGCAATAATATTTGAAATGAAGGCGATAAAAACGTGGTGATTTTCTTTTAATGGTAAAACACAAGCTTTCAGGCAAGAATGCCCTTCTTCAGGTTACAACTGGGAAATATTTTAAAACTATGGATATGAAAGATAGCCCAATACAGTAGGTAAATAGTTCAGCTGGGGGGATTGGCGAGGTAAAACACGGAGTATTGGGGTGGGAGGTCGATTTTTCGGTTAAAACTGGGCGTGCAGTGCGAGACCAAAGATTCAAGGACTAGGCGCTGATACTTGTTCCCGACGCCCTTGTAAACGCATACAGCGCTGTCCAAATTGAACGAGTGGCGAAATTCTGTGATGTGTTGGCATAAGAGAGACTTGCGATCGTTGGTGCGTATGTTGCGGCTGTGTTCAGATAATCTGGTGCGGATAGATCGACCGGTTTCTCCGATGTAACACTGTTCGCAATCGAGACAGGGAATTTTGTAAATTGCGTTGGTGGCGGTTAGGGGATTAGTTTTAATCGAACTTTTTGTAATCGGATGGCGTAAGGAAGTATAGAGGGAAGGGGTATTATTAAAATAGATAGGTATTCCGAATTTGCGTAAAAAGAAAGAAATGTCGGAGTTCCTGGCCGAAAACGGGAGAACACAAAGGTCTTTGTAGGGGGGAGGGACTGTTTTGGTGGAATTAGGCGAGTAAAAAGGATGACGGATAAAATCATGAGGATAACCGGCGGATGAGAGATGATTATATACAATACGTTTCTCATTCTTTTTGAAACAGTCGAGGGAACAGTGAGTGTAAATTCGCTTGGAAATGGTTTTTACAGTGGTGATTTTGTGGGAAATCGGGGCGTGGGACTTGAAATGTAAGTAGGAGGGGGCGGAATTGGGTTTACGGTAAACGGTTGTGTGGAAGGTGTGTTCGGTATTTGCAATTAAAACATCTAAAAACGGGATGCAATTAAATCGTGACGGGTTGTGTATAAAACGAAGATCGGGATTATAAGAATTTAAAGCATTAAGAATGGAGAGGTGGTCTGTGTCGCGGTGGAGGCAGAAAATATCGTCAACGTACCGTGACCACAACTCGATCCCCAGGTAGTTGTGGGACAAAATCCAGCGGTCCAAGTTGGACAGCGCTGTATGCGTTTACAAGGGCGTCGGGAACAAGTATCAGCGCCTAGTCCTTGAATCTTTGGTCTCGCACTGCACGCCCAGTTTTAACCGAAAATCGACCTCCCACCCCCAATACTCCGTGTTTTACCTCGCCAATCCCCCCAGCTGAACTATTTACCTACTGTATTGGGCTATCTTTCATATCCATAGTTTTAAAATATTTCCCAGTTGTAACCTGAAGAAGGGCATTCTTGCCTGAAAGCTTGTGTTTTACCATTAAAAGAAAATCACCACGTTTTTATCGCCTTCATTTCAAACATTTTGAAAGTTTTGTAATCCTTAATTTCTTGATTGCTTCTCCCTTTTTTTTTGTTAAACACTGTTTTAAAATCTACCTTACTCCTTTCTAAGGGAATTGAGTAAAATAAATAACCATCACTCTGCTGAGAGGGGATAAGAATGTGCTGAGAATTCTTCTTCTTCTTTCTTATCTCCACTCAATCATATTAGGGTATCAAGTTGTGACCCTTGATGGTGTCTGTTTGACAACCATCATGACTGGGTGAAGTAGAATGCGTCTGCCTTTGTCATAAATATTGGGAGCACTACTCAGTAGCAGGCCGACTTAGCTCCAAAAGAAATGGCCGCCTCTGACATGAGGAACAGACGCCATGTGCAGCTACTCCTAACATGGAGTACAAACGCTGCTCATCCTGTATCCCTGGATTAGGAGCCCTTACAGGGTACTATCAGCCAGGCCAGCTGAGCCCAGGTTTTTTAGTGAGCTTGTTACTGCTTCCCCTCCTCCCTTTTCATCCGGGCTTGGGTCTGGCAAAGGCGGAGTTGCAGAGAATTCTAAAGTTGGTCAGTCAGTTCTTAAAACAGATTTTTTTTACCTTAAAAACACTAAATCTACATTTGGTTACTAGATGCCACTCAATATAGATATTTCACTTGGTGTGTATAAACAACTTATATTTTATAGATAGGTGAAAATAAGGAAGTAGGAAATTTGACATGTTAAAATGATGACATAATGAGGTACAATCTGGATCACAAGTTATAACAAGATCAAATCCAAATAAGTAATTTACATATTGAATATTGACAATGCTTATATAGATTAAGTTTATATATATAATTTAGTTATTTGATCTCTTGTAATATATTCCTATCTATAATTCAAATTGTATGTACCTTCATCACTGAAATGTCAATTATAAATTCTTTAGAAATTTAAAACATTATAAGACGCGAATGTTTCTTTCACATATAAATCTGATTTCTACTGTCCTTACTGCGATGAAAAAAAATGTTAGGAGGGCTTGGCTCATGAGTAGTGAACCCTCCCAGCGGTTTCGTCAATTTAATCTACCAGACCGCTTCTTTAGAGCTCTAATACTGTATTGAATCATTTTATCGATTAATCCGCCTTCTACATGCTTTCAGGTAAGCATTTTAAGGCACAACATCGTTGAGAGTCACCAAGCGCCCGCCGCAATGGAGGGCCAAGGAGAGGGCTGGAGATGCGCCGGAAGGGCAGTGGGCACCCCGGGGGAGAAGAGGGCGAGAGCGCCGTTTATGAGGGAGCCAAGGCAGCACCAAGCACAGCTAAAGCACCGCAGGCTTCAAAAATTTTTAAGGGATCATTTCAGTGATCAAGATCAAAGGATCAAGATTCAGAGATCAATATACTGTATTGAATCATTCTGCTTTTATATGCAACACTAAAGGGTGGAATCTCAGAAATGGTATTTTAGTAAACTAGATAAATAAGCTTTGAGGACCGTAGAATTACATATAAAATTTGCATTGAGCAATGTTCTTCTACAAACAATAAGAACAAGGTCAGTTAGGCGGTCTGGTAGATTAAATTGGCGAAACCGCTGGGAGGGTTCACTACTTATGAACCAAGCCCTTCCAATATATTTTCATTGCAGTAAAGACAGTAGAAAAATTTGATTTATGTGTGAAAGAAACATTCACGTCTTATAATATTTTAATTTTCTATATATAATATCTTTATTTGGGCTTGATCTTGTTACCTTGTGTCTAATGCAATAGCTTTATTCCCTAAAATGCCTTGTTGAAATGATGGCTATCTACATCAAAATAACAACCTAATCTTAATTGACTGACCCATTAAGAAGCCTTTTGTGACAGATAGGGTGACAAATGGAGATGCTTGAATAATTCTAGATGAAGTAAGCATTATCATATTCCAGCTTAGGGGTCGGTGGAAGGATGGTCTAAACCAGTGATTCTCAACCTTTTTTTTTGTTGCGGCATTATTTTAAAGATTTGAAAATTTGGCGGCACAATTTTAGAATTTCGCGGCACACTTTTGCTAACTTGAATGCAAGAAAATTCAAATTATGTATCAATATTTCTATGCAAAATATAAGTAATATACATCTCTAACATTCAATTTGCTAATTTCGTTATTTTAAAAAGTAAAAAAATGAAAAAGAAAAAAAGAAAAACCAATACAAACGTGAACATAATCATATGACTAAAATTCGGCGGCACATTTTTAGAATTTCGCGGCACACAAAATTACCGCGGCACATTGGTTGAGAATCACTGGTCTAAACCGTTGGTTTTCGACCGCTACGACCTGGGTTCGATTCCCGCATTGGGCATTTTTTTCTGATCAGAAAAACCCAACCCCACCAGCGAATGCAAGTAAACAAACGGGGCTCTGGCACTTTTGTAAGTGCAAAGTTGAACTGTTTTTCACATGTGTAGACATGTGGTGCACTTACAGTAAAAGCAGTCACCTACTTCTACCCACCATGATTATCATGGCCTGTACCATGTGTACTAGAGATAAGCAAAAAAATATATATGCAAGCTTACAACCAATATGTACTGGGAGGGTCATCAGGGAATCATCTATTGACCTTGAAGATTAGAGGGAAAGCAGACAAAGAATTATTTGGTGTGATCAAATATAATAAGATTTAGATTATTTAAATATATTTAAAATTTAGATTTTTATATAATACAGTAAAACCCCTCTATAGTGAACCCTAATGGGACAGAGCTTTTGGTTCACTATAGCCACGGTTTGGCCATTTTTAAAAACTTTTCTAAATTTTCAGACCGTGTAATTAAAAAACAGCCGTACAAACAGGAAAAGGCAGCCACTTAATAATGGTCACTTTGTTTTAATTCCCTAAATTGACCTATTTATTTACAGTAATGCTGAATATCAAAAGAAGTCATTTGATAATAGGTTCTTCTTATCATTAGCATACAAGTTTATATATAAAC